GCGCGCCGCACGCGTACCAAAAAAGCGGCATCTAGTGAGAAATATGTCCTTACCTTGTAACAACGCCACTCATGTTGGGAGGCTGCATCAGAGAAGAGCACAGACGTACCGTCCACTATCATATGAGCAAGCAAAGATCCTAAACGGAAGTATGATAGATACAGTAGATGTGCTGACTCATGAAATGTCAACCAGAATTTCGAAATGCGTTCTCGTTTCGAAAAGATAAATTAAGTATTGTTGTAAAACTAATCATGATGCAGCATAAATCTATAATGATCCAGTTACCTCCTGGGTGTCGGCTTTCGAAAGAACTTATTCTCGGCTGCATGCAAGATTTATACTCTGCAAAAAATGACTACTTAGTTGGCATGCAATTATCTCATTGATTTTCGATGCCCTTGAAAATTCAATTATATTTCATGAAAAACATGCATAAAAATATTCATTTTTTTACTTATTCGGTAGAAAATCACGTCTTCTTCCAATTTCATACTCAAAAGAAGAGTATAATTCGGTTTTAAAAAAGTTTCTAATTGTGAGATTTTTTAATACCGATAAATGGCCGTTCATGAACCGTCATGTATCTGCATTTACGAATGTGGCTTGCAATGTTAACAATATTGCTCAAATCCACTGCTGAATTTTATAAATCTCATATGGTCTCCTCTTAACGCCGCAGAGAAATGCATGGTTTTCCGTACACGGAAAATATACAGCTTGTAGTTTGGAAACTCTGAATGAAGATGTAACAGCAGGTCGGGTTCAAAATTATTCGGGAAGTAGAAAGGTTTTTTTAAAACCGAATTATACTCTTCTTTTGAGTATGAAATTGGAAGAAGACGTGATTTTCTACCGAATAAGTAAAAGAATGAATAGTTTCATGCATGTTTTTCATGAAATATAATTGAATTTTCAAGGGCATCGAAAATCAATGAGAAAATTGCATGCTACATATGTAGTCCTTTTTTGCAGAGTGTAGATGTTGCATGTAGCCGAAAATAAGTTCTTTCGAAAGCCGACACCCTGAGGTAACTGGATCATTATAGATTTATGCTGCATCCTGATTAGTTTTACAACACTACTCAATTTATCTATTCGAAACGAGAACGCATTTCGAAAGTTTGGTTGACATTTCATGAGTTAGCACATCTACTGTAGGTCATAATATTTCATATCGTCTTCCGATTTTGACTTATCTGGAACTCTAGCCTTTTCGCAGTGACATGTTTCAAATTCACGGACTTACGAAGAAACGCCTTTTCCAGAAGGGGGAGAGTATATAGTCACTAAACGACCTTTACGAAATATTAACTAAAATTCTGAAATGCGTTCTCAATTCGAAAAGGTTACTTATGGGGGGTTGAAATATTGACTACCGTGCGGCATAATCCCTCGATATTTTAGACACGTTAGGATGTTGGCTTTTAATTGTACTCCTCTTCGGCCGCTTACAAAAACCGCTCTCTGTAAAAAAAAGTGATCACTTAAGCGGACACTTTTCATACTGATCTTCGATGCCCTCAGAAATCATGCATAGAAGTATTCTTTCTCATACTCATTCTACAGAGAATAACTTTGTCAAATTGCCCACAGAAAAGGAAGATATATAGGCGTTAAAAAAAACCTTTTCGACTCCTAAAGAATTTTAAGCTCGGTCTGCCGTTGCATTTACGTCAGAGTTCTCGGTCTACAACCTGTATACTTTCCATGTCAGGAAAATCAAACATTTTTATATTCAATTTAAAAGATACCATATAGGTTTCGTAAAATCTCGCAATGCATACTTCATGAATAGCATTAATGAACAGAGAGATACAATGCTATTTGGGTGGGCATTGTAAGGTCTTGGAAGATTCCATAGTAAGAAACTTTTAAAACCTAAATGTGCCCTTCTTTGGGGTATGAAATCTGAGGAAGACCTGATATTTTATCAACTAAGAATAAGAAAGTATATTTTTGCGCACGTTTTCCGTGGTATAGCCTTAAATGCATCTTAAGCAGTCATTTTTACCGAAAGCGGTTTATTCAGTACGATCAAAAGCCAACTTCTTAGCGTGTTTTAAATATCATTGGATTATGCCGCGTGATAGTCAGTATTACAACTCCACTAAAGTAGTCCGTCCTAATCGAAAAAGCATTTCAGAATTCCGGTTAACATTTTATGGGATCAGTTATTGACCGTATGTGCCCCAAAAAGTCGGTCTTCAAGAAAAACACTGAGTCCCTGTCACAACCCTTAAACTTAAATTATTGTAAAAAAGACGTCACTCTGGTTGTTGGCCCGCAGCCAACAGAACCGGGAAAGGCGGTTCAAGAACGCTTCGGAGTTACACCCTAGATTGTCGTTTCCCGTTTGAGAACAAGGATTGAGCCAGTTGGGAGTAATCAGACGCAAAGTAGTTGAGTTAGGCTTTGCTAAGTCCACAACCCACAACTGGCAACAACTCACTCTACTCTGGCAAAAGCCTGCTTGAAAGAAGAAGAGTTCGCGCAGGGCGATTGGCCGTGGCAGGTCTGAGAGAAGGCTGCGCAGCTGACGACGAGCCTCCAATGTCAGACGAGTAGTCTCCTCTTTCTCCTCCTCCTCCTTCTGCTGTCTTTCTGTGTCCTTGGGAGGGGCGGTCGACGGAATGGGCTCGTAGCCCAACTGCAACAGAACGGCAATATAGTCGCCCAAAAAGAGATTGGGCGACAGGAGGCCACGGAGTTCCCGGGTTGGTGACTGCCAGAGAGCGGAGAAGCAGCTGGCAATCTGAAAGGATATGCATCCACCATTGAGGATTCGACAGATAGGGTGGATGAGATAAACTGTAACTGTGAGGATTAAAGATCTCCTAGCCCAGTTGCTAAAACAGATAATGCGGAATAACGCATCCGCACAGACAAAAAGAACTTAGAACGAGAGAGGAACGCATTGTCAACCACTTCACTGCGGATAAGGCCCCCAGCTGAGCTAACTGGTCGATAAGCGCCTCCTCTTGTTACATTTTACTCGATAAGGCATTTGGTATTTTGAGTTGGCGGTCATTGTAACATAACAGATTGAGTGGTCAATGGCTCTCGGTTCTGAATCAATGACCTCTAATGTCCTTTGGTAAGAATATTCCAGTTTTTGCGGTAGTATCTGTCTCTGACTTTGGTTGCAGGGTCGAGGGCCGTGCGTGACTTTCGGCCGATTTTGCGAAAACTGCCTGACACAAATTGGCAGTTCTAGCTTGCTTGCTTTTACCAAATGTTAAGCTGAGAGACGGAGATTTGAAACACGAACGTGGCATCACTTTCCCATTTAGTCAACATCTAAGCGACTTCCTGAGGTGGGGAATTTTACAAGTGGGAGTGGACTTCACCGAGCCAGCCGAACTGAGGATGAAATAAATGACTTTCTCGTTGCCTGGAGATGCTCTTTGGAGTCAAACACATGGCGACGATTAATCAGCACTCAAGGTCTTACTGACAAAGATTTTGGAAGCTCTAGAGGAGCATTTTCGACTTATTTGCGCTCGTCAGGTGGCCATGCTCGAAACAGCCCGGGGCACCAAGGAAAAACGGAAAATCCGTACGACCTTTCCTAATCAGGTTATATCGTTGAACGTCAGTCTTGTATGGACTTGCGATCTCGGTTGTTAGGCCCAAAGTGATGCGCGATCTCACAGCATTCCATAAAAACTGCCAAGTCAAACATGAAAATCCATCCGGCCTACTCCATGTACTTAGGCAGCATCAGGGACCCGATGTCGAGCTAAACTGTCCAAAATGGCTTACACATGTGGGCTAAAGTCACGTAAAGGAAAAATTCAGTGATACCTGCGACAACTTCTGTCGTTTATCCGGCGCACTTTGCCGTTGGGGAAGTGCAAACTTCTCCCAATGTTCCATGCGCAGTTCCAAGGGCGCCGAAACCCCCGGTGAGAGAAAGGGATAGACGCCGAGGCAGACTACGAACTCCAAACATTTGGATAATTGCTGTGTCTGATAGATACTGAAGAGTGGCTTTCCATTACCAGCGACGGCTTCAGCAGCCAGGCTCTCTGAGGTGGCCATGTTGCTGAGAAGTGTGAGACAGCAGGTAACGTGGGCGTCGAAGACTTCAGCACCAACGAAAGTGCTGGCCAGCCCACTGGGATCCTCCACTAAGTCCATATAGCGCTGGATGCAGTCACGCAAGCACAAAGATGGGTCCTTGACTGCCTCAAAATGCCTTGGTAGAAGGGAGTTCAGGAGATTGGCAAAGTGTTGTACGGATGTCATTATCTGAGGACATTAAAAGACAAAAATTTCAGGTGATTCTTAACACATGCTACTGAGCAGCTTTGTGAAGGGAAAATGTCCCTTCCTGTGTTTCTGACCTCTGCGATGATGAGCAAAACGGCTAGAGGGGTTTTCAGGCAAGTCCTGATACAACAAGTTCCTAGGCTATACGTCAGCTTGCCATTTTGACCTGCAAAAAGAATGGCCCCGACGGGCAATCAGTCAGGCGAAATCTGGCTTGTTCCGCATCAGACGACAGAAATGCCTGGTTACTGTCGCCGACCCGAGCACCGAGATATTTTACCGTCGAGACCGGTATGCGGGGCATGTTATCCACCAATCCCTCATATGAATAAGATTATTGAGCACTACCTGCCACAAAATTCTTTGCGGGAAAAGCCAATAATTTGATAGTTTAAAATCTGACAAGCACGATGCAACCGAAAAGAATTTTGAGTTCTCGTTGTGGTGTCGTACCGACAGCATCAGAGATCAATAAATACGGCTAATGGGCGTCGCAGACGCGTTTGCTACCGTAAAGACTCTCGACGAGGAACGAAAAAACTAATTATCTAAAGTCGTCATCTCGGCAAGACCTTAGTGGAACGCTCCACTGACCTACGCGTAAATCTTGACTGAAAGTGTCAACTACAGTGAGCTGACTCGAAGCGATATTGATTAAGTCGTTACTGAGTAGCTCATGGTGTCAAATTGAAGGCGTGAGCTGTTAAGAAAACCCGCAGGTCCCTTACTGCGTCTAAGTGCCTGGTTCTGTTCCACCAAAACCAGGCACGATGTGTCAGGTGCGCGGATAATACTGGAGGGAATAAAAACTGTAGACTAGAGTCTCTGGAAAAAAAGACTCCTAGATCAAACAGTCTAAGTCAAAAGTCAGTGAAGAATGTCAACATAACGGCTGTGCTAGATAATTTTCGGGCCTAAGACTAAGGTTTGGTGCTGAACCCCTACACTTCTGGTAAACGAGAAGGCAGACAGAAAAGAAAATTGCAGCGACTTCCATTTATAAGAAGTCAAAACACGGTTTTTTATGGTATTCCGCTTGAGAGGACTTCAGTCCGATCGTCTCTAGTCAGAGCTTAATTCGAAGTCCTGGTATAAGGAAACCCCTCGCCGCCTACATAGATCCAGTCAGCAAAGATAACAAGACCGTCTTTCAGTCCGTTGCGTTAACTGCATACCGCTGTACCTACTTACTCTTCGTGTAGGATGTTTGGCAGGGCCGAGAACCTGTCCAGTTTCCACTAAACACGACGATCGTGTACCCTGGTGGCGTTCACATGATCTCACTTTCGTCCCAAACTACATTGACTCGTGGATGATCATCATTAGTGGGGAGTGAGGTTCCTAAAGCTATTCGTCTAATAACCAAGTTTGTTTTATATTACAAGCGAAACGTTGGTTGATGACTTCATGGCCATAAAAGAGCGATGGATATAAGTGGTTGCTCAAAGAAAGAATGCAATCACTTGGCAAAAAATTCTACTGCAGAACAAGGATATCAAACACGCGAAGTTCGGAAATATGACTGCAATGCCGCCTTGGCATAGGGCAAAGACGTAGCAACAAGTCACCATTCACGGACTAGCGTGGATTACCAGAGTGATCACACACAGAAGTTATCAGCACTCAATACAAGTTTTCGCCTAAACGACCCAAATAAACTACTGTACGAAAAGACATGCATTGCTGTCCTCACCGAGCGTATTACTCAAGCTTATTCGGCACCGATGCCACAGATCTCGGCATTTTCGACAACCCACAACGCTCAGTCTGCATCTTTTCGAAGCAATGTGTCGATGAAGGCATCTCAGCCCGCTCCCAATTTTGCCGACGAGGCGTTCCTCGGAACTCCTCCACATCCTCTCACCAAGGGCTGCTTTCTATGTGATTTTTGGTAAAAGCGTTTGTTCCGCGTTACGAGGAACGCGGTGGAAATACTTAAGCTGTTGGTACGGGTATCTCTTTCCAGAGAATCGACGGAAAAAGTGGTTTGTCGACAATGGGAAATCAGGAAATCGGGAAATTGCAGTGCGTGACAATCGCACTATGCCGCCCCTCTAGCTCAAACTTGCGGCAGCTGATCAAGGGGGAATGCAAGATCTCTGCAAGTGTGAAACTACTTGAGATGCGTTAGCGACTTTTATGCAAACTAGCAATCAAACCGCCCGATAGCATTGTTTGTGGCCCATTGGCCAAAATTCGTTTACATGTAGAACCGCACGCTTATCTATCCCATTTCGTCTTCGCCTCTTAATAGCAGTTTGTTAGCGAGATATTTAGAAAATTACGTCGTTCTACTAAGTATTGGCGCGGAAATCGTACGTAATTCGATGACTAACGTGCTCAATATCTTCGTAGCCCGGTGTGTTAACCGGTGAACCAAAAATCGGATAATCGTACGCATCGAACCAAAGGCGTTGATTAGTTCGAAATCAAGTGTGTGTAATATAGGGTGTCGGTCATATGCCTTAATTTGACAAATAAACTCACTTTACTTGATTGGTGGAAGAAAAGTCCTGTAACTATTCTATTTAAAATTACACCTTGGTGAAACATTCTCGGGAGAGACTGGCTTAAAAACTAGGGGGTGTTGATGATATGCAAAGACGCAAGCATTGCGCCCACGAGATTACTACGGCACAGACATGAGCATGGAGTTGCATTCTGATAAAGCGCAAATAAAAAATTGTAGATGATCCCATGACGGGGTTAAAAGAGGGTAAAATTCCATTGGTAGTTGAATCTAACTGAAGAATGGAACGTTAGTGGAAGTTGAGGTGCGGCTGAAAGCGATCAACGGCATTGTGATAACGATAACAGAAGAACTAGGAATAAGGGTATGCCACTGATATATATATACATATATATATATATCTTGTAAACACGATGCATTAGGCATGTAAACCGATCGGAAACCGCTTTAGTAGGGGTTTAGGAATTCGTTGAAACTATTCTTATTGGAGATAGAATGTGCATGCAAAATTTCACTCAGATATGTTATCTTTAACTGGATAATATAACAGTCCTAACAGTCGGACTGGTTAGATAACAAAGGACATAAATTTAAACAGGACCCTGCAACAACACCGCATGTAGCCTACCTAGATTTCTTTGATACGGGATCAGCTTGCTCACCAGTCAGCCTCCCCAAGCCTAACGCAAAAACTGTTTGATCCTTAAGAAAAAGAAGAAAACCCATGGGTGCATCTACGCGAGATCGTCTGACGCGTGCCGATGCGTGACTCAAGCATTCGTATCGAGCATTTAAATCAAAAAAGTCCTAACTTTGAAGGAGCGAAGTAGATTCAAATTTGGAGCTGTTCTTATGAGCATATTCGGGAAATCGAAATAATCGCAAAAATTGCGGCAGACTTTACCGGCAAAACCCTGTTTGTGATCTGAAGATAATGCATTCACGGAACACCTCACTACACAAAAGTATCTTAAAGTGTCAACTATGTAAACTTTCCTACCTACTCAACTTCAACCCGGCTGCACCCAAAACAGTATTCACAGACGTGGATATCGTGCTTCCTTTTTGCTTAAAACATGGGGTACCTCAAATCGCGGTCAAGACTGTATTACTGGTTCAGAAAAGTTGAAGGCGATAACAAACAGCCAAGGCATCTGCGACGGCATCAGTGTTCGCTTATGCAAGCCGAAGTAAATCCATCGACTTTGCTATCAATCCCTTTTATTATGTTGCTGGTAATGTCTTTGCCTCCGTCTACAACTGTCAACGACCTCACATCAAAATTAAATGTGGATTTGGAGGGAATCGTGGAAATATCGTTGTGTTTATCGTCGTTCGTCATCTGTAAGAGAAATGTGAAGGCGTGAGGACCAAAAGCAGTATACCTTTCCCTCAATGCCGCCATTCGTAATGGACACTAATAGTCAGGCTGAAATTCGAAAGGCCCGGTGCGTTTTGCACGGATGAAACCACAGCCTTGCGATAACATGATGACGGGCGTCATGGACAGTCGACCATTTTTCGAAACACCCTCAATGAAAAATGGGGCGAATCATTGTTGTGTACTCCAGTCCACCCTCCTCAGTCTTATCTTCTCTGCGAAGTAGATGAATGCCTACTGTAGCGAACGACAGCGAATGGTCGTTGATTACTATACCGACCGACTGAACATTAGAAGCATGAAGATAACTTCCTAAGCATCTAGGGTCAGTGTTCTCAGCCACTTTTTGTGAATGACTGCCTGCCCAGGAGGATGACGGAGGCAGGTGTGTAACGGAATGTGAACTTCTTCGCTACTGGCCGAACACTTACAATGAGAAGATAACTGTCATGTTTTCGCAGATATCATCTGATTACTACAAAGGACTCAGAGCAAGATAAGCAAAAATAGTTAACAATCGAACCTTTAAAAGTCAGCAGGACTTTCAGTAGCTAAAACTCTGCGTCCGGAGTCCCTGCGATGTCCATATGAACATGGAGCTGAAGTGGGCTTTCAACCTGGCTGGCATGTTGACGGCCTACGAAATCCAGCGGAGAACCTCATTCACTCTTCACTCAGTTGTCTCCGTTGGGCTGGGATAGTATGAAAGTTGCCCAAACTCCCAAGTTTAGGAAGTAAAAGTATTTTTACGCATCAGTAACAGACTAATGCTGACGCAAGTGTAATGAGGTAGCCAAGTCGTGCTAATGGAAGACGGACGCAAGATAAAGCGATTATTCGGCGGCTTCGTCCATACGGCCGTACGGCCCTAGACAGTGGACCCACGCAAGGCGTAGTACTGAAATCGGCTCTCTTTCTCGTGTTTTTAATAACTGTTTACAGGAACGGGAACAATAAATAGCGTTGCTGAATGAGCATCATGATCATGAAAATAATCTATTGTGCTGCTGATGAAGCGAGCTCACGAGCAAATCAGTGTCGACTGCATGAACAGTCCAGCCGATGGCTCCTACCCCGGATTGGACAGAAATTGTACCGGGCTACACACTAGAGTGCGAAATTAGG